TAAATAAATTATTTTAACATTTATTTGTCAATATCGAAGAAAATGGCAGTCTTAATACAACTGGATGTCCTATTCTGGTATTTTAAAATTAAATATTATAAAAAATTATTATTTAATTTTATTCAAATTAATATTTATTAATATCAAAGAAAAGAGCTGTCTTAAGGCACCTAGAAGTCCTTTTCCGATATTTTTAAATATTTTTTATAATTTTGAAATAATAGGATTATAAATTAAATATATATTGAATTTTTAAATTTTTAATAATAGAGACAATTTATAATTAAAAAGTATCAATTTTGGGCGTTGTAGGGGTACTAATCCTTCCCTAAATGTAACCGACCACGAATCCCTTTTTATTATTAAAAAGAACGAATTTTTGGTTATAAACGCAGATCAGTTCATTTTTTAATTGATGTTTTCTTAAAACTCTTTTAAAAAATAATTTTTAGGTATTCGACCTACCTGACCCAAAATGCCGATGGCGATTCCCAAATTATTTTCAAAAACCATTTATTCACATCAATTTTCCCGCCAAATAAATATTTCGTACCCGGACGAAAACAGGTTACGACAGATGTCATTGCTTACATCAATTTAGTTAGGTGATAGTTAGATATTTTTTGAATTTGTAATAGTTTAAATTAGTTTATTTGTGTGGTGTATGATTATTCTTGAGTAGTATAAATACCCCTCCCCATTTTAGTTTTAAGTATCAAGAAAAATTAAGAGCTTCTAAGTGACTGAAGAAGCAAAGTCTTATAAGAGTGAGTTGTAGTTCTTATTTTTGAGTGAGAGTGCTCTTGTAATATTTGTTTGAGTTTCAATAAAAGTTGTTTGTGTGAGTGTTTTATTCCAACAAAAACTACAAGTTTGATGGTAATAATCTCATGTGTGGCAAATAGATATAGCATTATGCATAGGGGAGAAAGGAAAATAACGCTTAGAAAGCACACAATAAGGTTGTTATTTCTTGACAGAATACATTAACACGCTAATTTAAGCTGCTGCATACATGGGCAACTTGAAATAAATGTCTGGAATTTATGCTGATACAGAATCATCAGATAAAGATGACTCTCAGGTGATGACTAGTGGAACCACCAACTTTGGAATTGCTAGGAGGTGGGGGTTTTGGTATGCATGGCATAAGAGGAGTACCATGTTCAATAGGACCATGTTTATTTATAGATGCCTTTGAGCTTGGAGCTGGATCGATGCGATGGCGGTAATCTTCTAGATCCACTTCGCCCCTCTTTTCATTGCTCAGGTTGTAGCCATTTACCTGCAATTTCAAAAGAAGATTCGTCTCAAATAAAATAAGAAAGTGTTCAACACTTGTTTTTGGCCAAGTAGTGAAATGTATACCTTCAGCTTCCTACTTGTTCTTGTTATACTCGAAAGATCGCCATTCTTGGAAAACTCCATATCTGAAATGAGATTCAAGAAGCTGGCAGCTTTTAACATATATACAATTATTGATTCCTACAATGATATGTATATGGTTGCTGCTCTTACTAGATTTACCGATGTACTGCATTAATTTTAAGAATAATTCTTCTTCACCTATACAAAGGAGAGCCATTTTTTTTACCAGTTTATCATGAATTTGCGTTGACATGCAAGCTGCAATTTAAGATTACGGAATACTAGCAATGATTTTAGATGAACCAACCAAAGCCTATAAGCTGATCAAATAGTAGGAAATAGACCATCAATAATTAAGCACCCTATCCCTATAGCCAACAACCAAATAAAGGATGTAAAAAAAAATTTGTCGGCAGATTGATTGAAACAACCACACATTACTATCACAATATTTTAAGAGATTCATTATCAAGATTTTGAGACAGTTGACCAAAATTATTGGCATACAACAATATGGAAGAAAGGGGATGTCGTTCAGTTACTTTCTGTAAATTGCAACAAGCCATGTTCGGCTGTCGCAGAAAGATCACAACAATTGCTAAGGATTTTTCATAACTTACAAACTTTATTTCTCAAAAATCAAAACTTGACTCATCTTGAAATTACTCATAAATACAAACTGCATAAGAACTATATCAAATCCAAAGTCAAAATAGTATATGCTTCAAATAAAGCTAACATGCAATAACAACCATCCTCCATTAATGCAGCAATTACCGATTAAAAGACAAGAATTATCTATTGTATTAATAAATCGACGTAAAAGGGAAAAGGATAAGAGACTTACTAGGAATGGAGGAGCTGTTGGAGAAGGTAATGACAAGCAAAGCTGTCCCCGAGCACAAAGAAGAAAACCCAAATCCCAGGAACCTTCATTATGTCAAATGTTGAAAATTTCTTACATGTGCAGCGACAGCCCAAGATCATATTTCCCCCCCCCAAAAAAAAATAGATTAAGAAGGGAAAGAAAAGAAGTTGAAAACCCAGATTTAAGAAACGTTGAAAGAGATAACGAGTGCCTAGGAACGGCCCATGCTATATTAAATATAGAGAGACATTAATGGTGGGTAAGTCGATAATAAAAGAAAGCATGTGAATTTCATTGTATGGGATCTAATCTCATGGGTGTAGGGTGCAAAGAAAGGAAGTAATTGACATTGATATTAGCTGTGACAGTGGAGGAATGGAACAGTGTTTGAGGTGACGAATGAAATAAAGAAGAGACATAAATGCGGCAAAAGAAGAACAGAAAACAAGTGTGGTGGAATGGAATGCGAGCGGTGGAGGCACGTCCTTTGCGCCAACTGCCATGCACTTCGCTTTTTTACTGTTTCCTGCCACCGTTTGCTTCGGGCACAGATAAATCTGGTTTCTTGTCTTAAATGAAAAAATCCAGTTTAAAGCCCCATAGTTACGGACATATGAAAGTAGAATGACAGTTTAAGCTTTCAGCCTTTCATAGTGGATAAAAATTATTACTGCTTTTGCTTGGGACTGAATATGGAAGCAGTAAACGGATAATGAAACTGAGGCTGTTATATAGGCTTGCTTTTCCTCCTTTTATTTTACTAATTTCTTTCCTATACATTTGAATCCAACCATAACGTCAATTAAAGATAATAAAATTACACGACATAAATCCGATGCGTAGGCCAGACTTGAGAAACATGGGCACCTCCTCGGCTCTTCTTTTAACTATAAAACTTAGTTTCAAAGGCCCATACGCTAAAGGCTGCGTAAAGGTCCATACCCATTGTTGAAATTATCTATTTGAAAATTCAATTTTTATTACTAGTAAAAATTATACGTATAATAAACAAAAATATTTTTAATAGAAACAGTTAATCTTATTAAAATATGAAAAGTATCTAAAATTTTAATAAGATTTTATAATTAATATTATAAATTAAATACAAAATTTGAACATTTTTCTATAACATTAAAACAAGGAACTAGTTATTTTAGACCAAATAAGGACCATAGAAAATGTTAAAAACTCAACTACAATATTCGAACTATACATAGATACGAATAAATCTGAGTGCATAGAGAAATGAACCACAAAAGAAAATTAAATTATTGAAAGACCACCGAAAATCGTAAATCAAAGCCGGACATCGTGAGAAACTATTCACAAATACAAAATCACATATTCAAATTCAATACGATGGACAGAGCAAAGAAGATCAACAAGATTATAAATAATTTTCATCTTGATCTATCGTGACGTCGTCAAATTCAACCTAAAAAATATAAAATAAAAAGAATGATAAAACAGCTGAGAAAGAAAATAAAAATGTACCAAAAAGTTAGAGAAAGACGAGTCACAAAGTAATGATTTTTCTTATTAAAAACTAAAAGAACAAAAAAAAGAACCGACAATCAACAACCAGTATCAAAATCAGTATCACCGCTGATTAATTAAAATAAAAAATTGATTTTATCTATAGAAACTCACAAATTCAAAGAAAAAAAATGACAAACGATACCTAAAGAGTGACGCTGCCTGCTAGGGTTTTCAATAGGAAAAAAATATTTATGTTATAAATATGTTAACATAAAAATATAATTATAAAAAATATTAGGGTAAACTATGTGAATAGTTATTTTTGTTTTCTGCTTGATCGACTTTGGTAATCAATATTTTAATAAATGCGCTTAGTTCATTACGTTATCAGTTTGTTTAATTTTAGTCCCTAAATTATTAACTCTGTTAACCTTTTAATGAAAGTATTACACGACAATTAAAAAATTAAAAAAAATCACGTTGCTTTCTTCTTTTTCTTCCACTTTAAATCTTCGTGTGTTTTCCAACAGCATCTCCATTAACCCTCACGCTTGAATAAATGAATCCTGTATTTTATTTCCTTGAGACTAAAAGTGTTTGGAAAGCTAGCAACCAAGTTCTAAGTTTGATAGAAGGCAAACAAAGGAATTTATACAATCTGATAATGTCACGACCGTCTTTCAATCGGGCCCGGAATTAGATTTCGATGTGGATTAAATAGATTGGGAGTAACCACCAATCATTTTAAAAATATTTAGGTAGATCGGACATCATCTTACCTGATCTGCGTTTAACCAGAAACGTGTTAGATTCGGGAGTCGATTACAATCAATGAAGGATTAGCATCCTTGAACCGCCCTTTCGGTACCAATTAATTTTTTTATTGTCTTAATTGCGAAAATGTAAATTTAAATTTAAATTAAAATACTCGATTCAAAACATTTACCTTTGATTAGTTAAAATTATCCCTAAATAATAAAGTAAAAAATGTTAGATTAAAAAAAATACTATATAAATTAAGAGAAAAAAATGAATTAAGAGAATAAATGTTAAAAAAAATGTTAAGAAACTTGGACATAGCTCCATCAGCAATAAATGTGGCCACACTTTTAGGGACAGAAATCTGCTCCCACTCCGAGCACATGGCACTTTTAATATTAATCCTTAAAATATTCTTGAGCCCCTTAAACGTGGATCGCTCATGCAAGGTGTGAGATTACCGGAGTACGTAATCTTATATGATTCAGAACATCTAATGCCTAGGCAGCACCTCTCGTGAATTTTTTCAAGTTTGTTTTGAACAGCCCCCCATGGCCACAAGCTTAGCTACTGCCAACAGATTGGTTGTCAAGGTACATGTTTTATCAGAGCAAATGACAGTAGTACACCCTAATGTCTCGACACTTGGCAATTTCCTCACCAATGCGTTCTTTTGATCCATTTTTCTAGTCCCAGGTGCTAAACAAGTGGTAATAACTGTCGGCAACCCTTCTGGAATGGCCGCAACAGCCAACGCTACAGCTATTTCAAAATAATATGTACATTTCTCGAACAACAACTTGAAATTTCTAGGCCAACCATCAATATACTTCCAGCTGAGAAAATATTTGACATTAATTAACCAAACGAAAGCACAAATTACCCCAATTATCATCGCCAGAACCTCTCCGAACTCATTGGGCTTTTTCTTTAACGGCGTGTTTTCTTCGCTCTGCTCATCGACGTACTTCTGGTAAAAATCCACGAGTGCTTTAGAGTTGATCTGGTGGATAGCGTAGATCTGAGAAGTGTGACCTCCGCCCTTGACTCTAATCCTCATGTCGACGCCATCAAAACGGTGACGGCCGAGGAGAAGGATTGGCTCAACGGCTTTGATGCGAAGTCTTTCCGGCTCGACGAGCTCGATGGGACAACCATTGATCTTGATCAACCCACGGTCTCTCTTGCAGTACGTTACAACCACCGCCGTCTTCTTGTGCCAGAAGCATTGGACCGATTCGATTGCTTTCTTCGCCATTGTTGTTCCATTTGTGGGTTCGCAGAAAAACAAAGACTTACGTTGAAGCAAAACCCCAGCCAATTAAAGAGATTATAACAAAATATTCTTCCTTCCATTCAGCTGGGTTCATTCGTTCCTCTCCACCCTCTTCCATTCTTTTTTTTTTTTTTTTTTTGACTTCTCCTCTCCTTATGTCATGGACATATCACTTTATAAGCACTTGTTTTGCTTTGGCTTACCCCCTTCCCAGACGTGAGTTGAGGAGATAATGGGTGCACAACCCATTTCCCACAAAGGGAAACGGTTGAGATACGTGGGGCTCAACATGGGGCCTACAAAAATAAAATTAATATAATAATAATATAATATAATATTTTTGTAATCCAGACAAAAACAAATATCTACAGATAAAAAAAAAATTTAGTAGAACATTCAGTCCCTTAATAGCTTCTTGATGGAAAAGAAGAGTTATTAACATGTCGAATAACTCTCATAAAACTCTTGTAAATCTAGTGATTATCGTGCATGCATGGAAGATATAAATTACACCAAGCTTGGTATATAGCGGTATTTTTATTCCAAACACCATTATTATTATATATTTAGTGGTGTTTATAGTAAAAATACCATAAAATGGTAAAATTTAGGGCGTTTATTGGAATGCACCGCAAGATTTATGTGATTTTAGTAAAAATGTCATAATAGAGTGATATATGATGAAGATTTTGTAGAAACACCACTAAAGACATGTACATTAGTAACAAACACCACGATAAAATTCATATGTAGAGACGGTTTTTTATAAACACCACAATTGGTTGTACCGTAGTGGCATTTGTAAAACCAAACGTTGCAAAAATTAATAAAAACTTACCCATAACTCCCCTGCCTCCAGATAGTTCAATAGCTTTCAATAGTTTAAGCATTGGAAAAAAAAAAAAAAACTAACCTAGCGCAGCCTCCACCACTAGCGCAGCATCGTCGCACTTTTTCAGTCGCCAATTACCAACCACCGGGTACGTCTCTCTTCTTGTAGCTGATAAGGTTTACCGGTGAAAACCATATATTGCTTTAAGGTTAGGGTTTAATATTTTCTTTCAAGAGTTGCTTCTGATTCACTCTTATCTCTTGTACATTACGGTAAAGTATATATTACTTCGGTATTGCAAAAAATTTTAGATATTGAGTTTTCCTTAATATAACCATTATAGTTTTTTCACCCTCTAAGTGAAGTCAATGCAGCTATAATTAGGAGTGTTCAAACGGGTAATTTAGTTAACCGATCAAACTGAATTACCCAAATTTCATTAACCAAAATATTTCTCTTTAACCATTAACCTAATCGATTTTTTTTTCAAAAACTTTAATCAAACCGTATTAAGTTTGGTTAATTGATCGGTTAGCTGAATGAACCGAAATTTATAAATAATATTTATTATATATTTAATATTTTTGATTAATTCGGTCGGTTAATTCGGTTAAAACCAAAGTTTAAACTCCCCTAAAACTAAATAATATATATAATATATTAAATATTTCATAATTTCGGTTAATTCGGTTAATTAACCGATTTCGAACCAAATTAATCGAAACCGGAGTTTGAATAAAAAACCATTAACCGTTAACCGATCGAAATTTCGGTTTCGGTTGGCTAATTCGGTTTTAACCGAATTATGAACACCCCTAGCTATAATGAATGTTGAACATGGGTTATTTGTAGAGAAAATCTGAAAAATGATTATTCTAGGATTTTCAAGTGAAGAGCGGAATCAAACAAGCCAGTAAGCATTTCCGTTAGTTGTTTATGAGATGTCAGTGCTCAAAATGTCTTAGAATTTTGACTTCAATGTATGGGAATTCCAATTTCCTTTTAGGGTGTGTTTAGGGTGTGTTTGGTTGGGGGAATGTGAGATTTCTATGGGAATGGAATTCATATTCCCCAGTTTGGTTGGCCGGGGATGTCATTCCCAGTAATCTTACATTACCAATAGTGAATTTTTTGGGGTATATTACCGGGAATGTCATTACCTCTTTTTCCTTAGGTATTATTGGATTACCAGCGTTTTGGACTAAAATGCCCTTAAATTTTTTTTTCTTTAAAAAATATTCTTATTCTGTCATTGAATAATAAAAATTCTACGAAGGTTCAATTACAAATTTTATCCTTAAACTATTTTAGATTTACAAAAAAAATCTATAATTAAAATTTTATATGAAGTTCAGAGATTAAAATAAAATTTTACCATTTTATTAAACCTTTTTATATTTTCAATTTTGTAAAAAAAATTATATAAATTTTATGAATTTAAATTTTTTAAAGAAAATATATAAATATTTTTCAACTTGTTAAAAAAACAAATATATAATGAGGACAATTTAGTAAAATATACATTCCAATAATCTTTTATTCCTTTAACCAAACACGGTAATCTTACATTCCTACTAAACCAACCAAACACAAAACACAACATTCCCAGTAATCCTATTCTCTGGTAATCTTTTATCTCCCTGATAATCTTTTATTCCTACTGGTAATCTTACATTCCATGAACCAAACGCACCCTTAGTGTTAAGAACTCATCATTTAGTACCTATCTTTGGTAATAAAAAATTACTTTCTCGATATTAATCTTCCACATTTTACTTTGCCTGTTAGCTTGAAGCAACCGTAAACAAATTATAATACAAGGTTTTGGCATCCCGGTTGCTGCATCAAACCATTTATTGAGACCTTCACCAAGTTCCGAGCAATTGGTTTCACAAGCAGTTAGTTCACAAATGCTGTAGCAAATAACTCGGTATTAACTGACAGAATTTGTCACTCATAGTTTGGTCCCATTTCAACATGCTAGTTCACCAGGTACGTCTCTCTTGTAAGTTTCTAAGTCTCATGTTTGACGAACATATATTGGGACTTGCACCTGATGAAAAATGGTTTGTCTATGATGTTGAACATAAAACAGATGCAAAGAAATACGTTTCTTCTATAAGGTGACTATACTTGGCGTTTTGTCATTTACCAATTCCTTGAACGGATTGGTTGATAAATAGTAATAACATTCCTTGGAAAAATAGTCAAATATTCTATGAAATTTTTGAACTTCTAATCTCTTTAGAATCAAATTAGCGAGTATAGTGATAATATTGCAATATATATTCAAGAATTGATGGTAAATTTGATTGGAAATCATAACTATAGTTGCAAACTTGAACGGATTGGTTGATAAATAGTAATAACATTCCTTGGAAAAATAGTCAAATATTCTATGAAATTTTTGAACTTCTAATCTCTTTAGAATCAAATTAGCGAGTATAGTGATAATATTGCAATTATATATTCAAGAATTGATGGTAAATTTGATTGGAAATCATAACTATAGTTGCAAATTTGGATCTTATCTGATATTTAATAGAGGAGATACCAATTTGGTTTTTGTTTCTGAGTTAAGGTGAGTAAAATATATTTAACTCAATTGGCAATATATTGCCTTTGATACTAAATGCGCATGTAATACTTAGCCTTAGAAAAAAAGGTTGCTTTTGGGTCTTTTATGATTTCCAATTAGCATCGTAATATTATTGTTGCTTTTGCAATCATAATTTTTTTCTCCTTTTCTGCAGGACAAAGAAGCTTAAAATACAAAGAAGTTTCAGACAACCTTCCAATTGTTAGTGTTGGACAAAACTTGGAGCATGCACAGTCTTCATGCTTGAATTTTTTTTTAAAGTTCAGGTAAATACTATACTCTATGTTATGGGAATTGGCTTTTAGGTCACTGAAGTGAGAATACCCTCTTAATATATACTTGCCTTGATTATTAGATTAAGTTGAAAGTTTAACATTAGTCTCACAGTTAAAGAATTAATGTTTGAATTTTTTTTATTAAGTTTTGAAGAAGTTGTGGTGCTGAAGTCCTTTGCAGGACATTGCCTACAGATATAAGTTTTCCCCTAGTGAAGTTTACCAATTATTTAAAGAATTTCAATAGCGAGCCTAGTGATACGAGTTTAATGGTTTTAAGTTTGAACATAGTTAAGAATTGGTGTACTTGTTTAAAAGGTTTCATCTTTTTTATTCTTCTATTTGTTTTCAAATGCAGGCGATAAAGAGATCCTTTTTCAAAACTGACATCCATAATGATTTTTAAATTAAATCAAACCTCAAACTCAAAATTTTTAAAATTTTAAATATAGGATGATTGACTAGAACCAATTTATAGGTGTTGTGGGGTGCTAACCCCGCATAACCAACTTCTGAATTTGATTTATGGTTTTTGCATACGTTGGTATTGTAGACACTAATTTTCCGTCAACATCTCAACCCACCTCCCTGAAAAATCTAGCCACACCACTCACATCCCCAAATCATCCGGTGCAAGGAAAGCAAGCAAAACAAACAAGCAACAAACCGAGCATTTTTAGTCCAGATAACGCTAGAAAAACGGAACTAAAAATAGGTTCCTAGAACTATAAATACACATGCAAGGGGGAGGGAAGAGGGGAGATTATTCACAAATCGTTAATCATCAGCAAAAATCATCAGACGCTAGAAGTGCTTTACATGTATTAGAATCGGAAGAGGAGATCCAAAGAATAGGAAAGCTTTTCTAGCCTGTACGCAGTTGTTTCTGCCCTCGGTTGCTGGAAATTCTTTGGATTCCGCAGAAGCATCGATAAAGGTGAGTCCTCCGATTTGGATTTAGTTGTTTTGTTGAATATTAGATAGAGGAGAGAGCAATAAGGGCGGCAGATGAAAAGGAAAAAAGAAAGCCAAATGAATTCACGCATGAAAATAAATGGTTTTTTGGGTTTCATAGAATTTTTGGGTTAATTATGATACAAGTCATTAAAGAGTTCCTCCTTTGTAGCGCTTGAGTTATTTTTTTATTTCGTTCAATTTGCTTACTGTATAATCATAAGTTGGATTAGGGGTGTAAACGAGCCGAGTCGAGCTCGAGTATTGCCGAGCTCGACTCGAACTTGAAAACTTTAAACATAAGCTCAACTCGACTCGAAAA